TTCTCTATCGTTTATGAAGTTCTAAAGCTACCCTATTTATAAGAAATTTGATAATATAAATAAATAAAATAAAGAAATATAAGATATGTAATCGATTATTAATGTTAATTAATTATTAATGAAAAAGAAGGTTCCAGCGTCTTCTAGGTCTTCGCGTAACTTTACTTCTAAGATATCTGCCATTTCTAAGATATCTGGCATATCTTATATTTTTGGCATATCATGTGAAACTGGTGTATTTCACAGATCTGCCAGAATTGGCAGATATGACAGATACTTGGCGTAGTAGATCAGGTGATTTATTCTGTTATCATATGATTTGCGGTTGACTCTTCTATTACAATATCCCCCTTCTTTAAAAATGAACTCCAGTGAATTAATTCATTAAGGTCATTTAATTTCAATCTTGCAAGTAAAACTATAGTCGTGTTCTGAATTCTCATTAGTTGCTCAATATTATCTTCAAATATAAGAAATACTCTCTTTGATACGGTAAAATATTGTTTAGATAAAGTAGAATCTTTTTGAGTCATATATTCTGCATCAATTATTTGTCCTATATGATAAAGGTAAAATAACGATTCTTTTCTATTATTCAGTGTTATTTGCCATCGAGCATGTTGGAAGAATATTCTTATCTTTGTACTTGCATTTTGAGAGGATATCAATAGTAAAGGTGATAATGTTGTAATTGTAAGGATTACTGCTAATAAATCAGAATATATAAGCTGGTATGCTTGCGCCATTTCTTTGAAAACAGAATTCTTTTTACTAATATTCTCTATATATATAACTAAATCAATTACTAGTAAATAATGTAAAATAATAAAAATAAAACAAAAATAGTAATAATCATCCTAACACTAATTTATGTAATAACTATCATTGGTTTCATCTCCTGTTCATTATATCACTTTAAGCGGTCACTATATATAGTTCCTTTGACTATTCGTCCTTCAATAGATCTTAATTTGTAGTTATTGAATCCAACTATATCATGAATGTAATATGGTCCCATCCATTGAGGCTCTAATTTTGCGGACATATCTCATCGTTTCCATGTTTTCTCTACTAGAACTTTTTCGCCTATTTTTAACCTTTCTGAAACTCAGTGATCATTGTATCGATCTTTTTGTCATTCTTGTGTCTGATTCATATTGTCAAGCGCATCTTGTTTATTTAATTCGAGCTTATCAATCAATATTATTAATCTATCTAACAAAGCATCATCTATCGCTTCATCATTAGTGTTGACTGAATTTATTTGTAGATCGACTGGTAACACTACCTGTCGTTCATACATGAGATAAAACGGAGTGTAATTAGTACTCTTGTGTTTCATGGTACGATAAGCAAATAGTACTGATGATACATAATTATCCCATTCGTTTTCTTGGTCATATACTAATTTAGCTAAACACTCTCCAATAGTATGATTGAATCTTTCTACCATACCGTTGGTTTGAGGTCGGTAAGGTGACATCAGCCGGTGTTTTGTTTGAAACTTTTGACACAATTGATCAACTACTTGATTTATAAAGGACATTCCTTGATCAGTTAATATTTCTTCAGGTGCATCATGTCGACAAATAACCTCTTCATACAGAAATTTAGCCACTGTTTCTGCTTTGATATCCTTAATAGCTCTACTTCTGGCCATTTTGTAAAGTAATCCATAGCGACAATGATATATCTATTTCCATCTTTGGTAACAAGTAGCGGTCCTTTAATATCTAGCCCTACTCTATGAAAGGGTGCTTTAACTAGAATAGGTTGTAATGGTTCTTTCCTAACGGTTGGTCCTCGCCTCTGACAGTTATCACAGTTTTTAATATATTTTCTAATATCTTCAAACATCTGTGGCCAATAATATCGATCTTTAGCCTTATGATAAACAGCTTCTATTCCTAAATGGGCTCTAGTCATATTTTTATGTAGATTAAAGAGAAGTACTTCTACTTGATCATGTGTTATTACTCTTTTTAGTCTATCCTTTGTTGGTTTGTATAATTGTGTGTTTTTAATTATGTAGTGGGTTGATAGTCATTGTATTTGTTGCCGTTGAGAGTTGTCATAATTATTTGGATATGTGAAGTCAGTGAGATATCGAATTATATCATTGTATTATTGTTTATCCATGATCTATTATTGATGTTGATTCGAGTGAGTTTGGTGTCTGTAATTCATTAATCTGTGATAGAGTGTCAGCATTAGCATTAGCCTTTCCTTTGCGATATTTTACTTCAAATTGAAATTGTTGTAAGATAATCTTCCATCGAATGATCCTTTTACTATCTTTTTCCTTTGTTGGTTGATTTAATAACCATTGTAGGCTGAATGGTCAATGTAATTAGTAAACTTATTATCTTCCAAATATCTTCTGAAGTATTTTATTGCCATACTACTGCCAGTGCTTCCTGTTCAGTAATATGATAATTCTTTTCAGTTGGGCTCAATGTTCTGCTTGCATACCAAATAGGATGTTCTCTATTATCCCAATCTCTTTGTGATAATACTGCTTCTAATCCTGTTGTACTAGCATTAGTGCTTAATACGAATGGTCGATCAAAATCAGGATAACATAGTATTGGTGCAGTTGTCAATTTTTCTTTTAATATTTCAAATATTTCCTGATGTTATTTCGTCTAATTGTATTGTACATTCTTTTTCAATAGGTCATTTAAAGGAGTTACTAATTTGAAAAAGTTCTTAACAAAGCGTCGATAGTAAGAGAACAATCCTAATACAGTTCGTAATTACCTAATATTGAATGACGCGTTAAGATTAACGATTTTTTCAATTTTTGCTGAATCTGGTTGTATCCCCTGATCTAAAATAACATGTCCTAAAAATTGAATTTCATTATCACAAAAATGACATTTCTCAGGGTTTATCTTTAAATTAGCTTCCTTTAATAAGTCAAATACATGTTGAAGGTGTTGTAGGTGTTCCTCATAACTCTTGGAAAATATGATAATGTCATCCAGATATACAAGTACAAATTTTTCTTTTACATGTCGTAGTATATCATCCATGGCTCTTTGAAAGGTAGCAGGTGTATTACACAACCCAAAAGGCATAACATTAAACTCGTATAATCCATATTTAGTAATAAATGCCATTTTAACTTTATCCTGTTCTCTAACCTTAAACTGCCAGTATTCTGAAGCTAAGTCAAGCGTTGTATACCATGTTGCTCCTCCTAAAGATTCTAATAATTCATCGATCCTTGGTAACGGGTATCGATCTTTTATGGTGACATCATTCAATTTCTTGTAATCTACACAAAATCTTATTTTTCCATTTTTCTTCCGTATGAGTACTACTGGTGAACTTCATTGGCTTCGTAATAGTCGTATTATTTCCTGTTCTAATATATTTTGATTTCTTGTTGAATATACTGATCATCTTTACTTGATGTCTAATACGGTTTTAATACAACTGGTGGTACTTCTTCAGTAAATATACAATGTTTGTGTTGATCAGAATGTATAAACTCTTGTATGGTAGTAGCAAAACTATTAATATTTCTATAAAGAAAATCTTTTAATTTTGTTATTAAATCAGTCGACAAACTTCCACATATAGTATATTTTCCTGTGTTTTTACCAATTTCTATATGAGCATCGTTTTCTTCGAGCTGAACCCTATAAGTTGATTGTATTCTCATGCTATCCTTGTAATATTGATAGGTTTGAACATCCTTCATAATTTCTCTACAATTATCACATTGGCTTCCAGCTTCTATTGTTTTTAGACACCAACATATAGCTGGTCCTTTTCAATTTTTGTTCTGTTGTACATTTAACTCATATTCCAAATGTTGTAGGTATATTTCAGAATATTCCTTTCCATTGATATGCATGGCGTGTTCCCTTTCCTTAGGGATGATAGCAAAGCATCGTTATATATCAATATCCTCATCCTCATCCTCAAATTCAAGTTTGTCTGAAGTTACTTTGGTTTTTATGAATGTGAATCTTCCTGGATTTATATCTTGGATGCAGGTTATCGGTGTTATAGAAGTTTGCTTTTCTTGTTGTACTGTTAATATACTTGTTTCAAAGTCAATTATAGCATTGACTTTTTATAACCACATATTTCCCAGGATAACGTTGTACCCTGTAGCATTAGTTACTAACATATCTTCGTTGATTTCTATTCCATTGACTTCTATCAGTATCCCTTTTATCATTTCCATTGGTATCATACTATTACCATCTACTCCCATAATTTTGATTTTTGCAGGTCCATCAATAGTTTTGTTAATCTGTTTTAAGAATCGTTGGATAATGATACTCCCTACAGATCCAGTATTGATTATAGCATTTACATCGTATCCATTTATTTTAGCTTCAATATATAGGGCATCTTTGACTGGTTCATCCTGACTTGTGTAAGTAACAACAGTTTGTTCCTTCAATTTTGTCACGAATAATTTCCCGAATTTATTATGTGTTGGTATTAATTCATTTAATCCAGCCATTTGTAAGTATTCATCAAATTCAAAATATTGCCATTCACCATGTTTGGTTGGTTCTGTACGTCGTAGTAGCTCATCCTTTAACTTAATTTTATATACATCACAATATAAGTGGGGTCATTTAAAATGTATTCCAAGCGATCTTTATCCAGTTTTATTCCTGTTTCTTTATCAATTTCTCTTATCATTGCTGTTGTTGACAATTCTCCCATTTCTACTTTTCCGCAGACTGTTTGCCATAAATTATACATTTTCTTTTTGGGATCTATCCTTTTTGATAGATGAATTCCTTTGTTATCATATAAAATTCCTAATACGTATTTAGGTCTTTTCTGTATAGTGATTTCTCCTTGTTTTTGGGAATCCACTGTTATAATAGGCCGGTTTTTATTAAAAGTTCTTTCTTCTGTTACTGGATCTTTCCATTTAACTTCCTTACAATTACATTTTGCGGCTATTCCTTGGGCCATCTTTTTACAGTTAATACATACTATATGACTATGGTGATCATATTCTTCGCAACTAAAGTGATCATATTTGTTTTCATATGGTCCTCTGAAGTGTATTCTTGACATTATTCCTCTACAAACATATGGGAGGTTTGCTAGGAAAATGGGGCTCTGAGACTAAAAAATTTTTTTGAATAAATTAAAAAATCAAAATAAACAAAAAACTAGCTTTAAATTTGAGGCGATCTATTTTTAGGTCATGTGATATATATCATATAATATAAATTATTAGCAATTTGTTGATCATTTCCTAAATTATACATTAAACATGTTTATTATTTCCAAAAATCTATTTCTAGATTTACTAAGTAATAACTTTCAATATTATAATATTTTTTTTTGAAAATAAGCTAATGTAATATAAAATTTTAACTAATTAAAGTTTATAAATTATAGATTAATATGTATCAAAATTTTCAATTTTTTAAAAAATGTCTCAGAACCCCATTTTCCTAGCAAACTTCTCATATGGTACTTCTATTAAATTAGTTCCTTCAATCGGTGTTTCGTATTAAGTATTTTCTTCTTCTATTTTTAGGGGCTTTGGTTTGTTCGCACGCTCACCCCTGATAGGTGCGACCTCTAGTTTAAATTTTGCTGATTATTATTGAAATTTTGTTGTTATTATGGTAATTCCTATTATCATTGTTATTATTACTCCAACGATCTCTGCTATTACTACAGTTATTATTATTGTTGTTGTTCCAACGGTCTCTACTATTGTTGTGGTTATAATTTCTATTATTTCTATTATTATTTTACTGTTGTTGTGGAAATTTCGACCTCGGTTATTGTTATTATTATTGCTATTGCTTCTGCAGTTATGTGCATAGTGTCCTTTGCGTTCACAGTTGAAATATTCATTATTGGGTTGATTACTATTATTACGACTACCTTGACAATCCCTAGCAAAATGCTCAAATTTTTCACAGTTAAAATATTGTTAAGGTTGAGGTCATTGTGATGGTTGACGTTGCTGCTGCTATTGCTGTTGTTGTTGTTGTTGTTGTTGTTGTCCGATATTAGCTATTATGGCTTGCAATCCTTTATTTAACTTTTGATTGATAGTGCTTTCTATATCAGGTTGTTGAATAATATAGGAATTAGTTTGCATTGCAATGTTCGTTTGTGCTGGAACCATTCCTCCTTGCAATAATTGCATATAATTTGGCATTAGGGAGTATGCGGATAATTCTATTCTTATTGAATAAGCAGATTCTACCGCTCTGGTTTTTTCGATTGTTTGATCCACTGTTGTAGGCATAGCAGTTTGTACTGGAATCATAAATTCAGGTCGTAATCCTTCGATAAATTCTGCAACTCAGTCCATTTCAGCACGTCGATATTGTGGATCTACTCTTTTCCATAGTTCTCCTATGGCTGCTGCATATTCTTCAATTGTTTCTCCTGCTTTTTGTTTACAGTGCCTCAATTGATGTTTCCATTGATTCTGTCAAAAAGCGTTGCAAAAATATTGTTGAAATAGTAGTATGAACGAAGTGCCTTAGTTTGTTCTGCTATTCCAATAAGTAATATTTTGTCATTGAAACCATGTCAGTGCAGTTTCTGTTAGGTAACTAGGAACTATTTTTATCATTCTAGTTATACGAATCCAGTTTGTTCTACATGCCTGTTCAAAAGCTTCAAACCATTCCACAGGGTCTTGATTTCCTCCTCTAAATGTTGGCAAATCTACCAGCCATTGTTCTCTAGTTTGTTGTCCTTGTAACCATCTTGTTAATCCTTGTAGAACTTGGAGATATGCATTATCTTGTACTGGTGGTGGGGGTACTGGTTGTATAGGTTGAGGCCATACAAATAGTTGTGACGTAACAGGTAGTTGTATTGGTTGAGGTCATACAAATGCTTGTGATACTGGCTGTTGCATTGGTTGAGGCCACACAAATGCTTGTGATGTGACAGGTGGTTGATTTATCTGAGCAGATGGTTGTACTACTGAGGTTATTTGAGTTATACTTTGTCCACTAGTTGTATCATTTCTCATATTATCTTGAGCATGTACAGGTGGTTGAAATTGGTTAAAACTGGTTCTTGCCATTGGGATTGGGTTAAGTGGTAAGGGGTTAACTGGAACAAGTGGGTCAAATATACTACCGTAAGAGGTCCGTTGAGCTTATGTAAAATTATATACGTTTGGATTTGACACAAACGTATTGTTTAAAGTTGGCCCATTACTAGTATTTAAATTTCCTGTCTGCTGGTTTGACGAATTATTACTCCCGCTGAGTCTAGCTATAATGGATTGATTATTTGGGTTAAATGTACTATTTGGCTGCGAATTTGACCTCGTGGCAGTAGAGGATCCTTTTTCTGTATTTAAATTGAATGTGATTTGTTGCCGAATTCTATTTGGCATTCTTCCGCTTTCAACTACACTTGCATTGTTAAAGAAGGAATCCCCTTGTAGATTCTCATCACTATCATTAATAAACCCATAACTTATATCTCATGGGGTGAAGGTCTCTTCTTCATCATCTTCATCATACCGTGAAAAAGTATTGCTTACCCATGGGTTTATTAACGTCAGCGATTGGTTTAATATAATTGGTAATGCATTATTTAGGGAGTTATCGCTACTTTCTCTTACCATTATTGTGTCGTCCTATCCTTTGTTCATCATACTCTCAGAACTCGTATTTGTACTAATTGTTAGGCTGCTACTATCGATACTTTTAGTTTTCCAAGATTGGAATCGGTTAGTCTGTATCCAAGCCTGATATAGATTATCTGCGATTTCGTCAAATGGCTTTTTCAATAAGTTATCCTTTATATCTGATTGTAGTAACAATTTTTCTTAATAGGTATTTTAGTAACTGTTCTCTTTCTGTGTAGTTTTCCTCACTCTCTTGTACTCTTATAAAATATGCTACAGTAAAAGTTGTATATGATTCAGCGTCGTACTTAGGCGTAATCCACAAGAATCAGAAGTTATTAAATGCTAGTAATTTTCCTGACTGAGTTTCGTAATCTGGGTGATACTGTTGGCAAGACTGATCTAAGTGGCTGACAAATCTAGTTTTATGGTTATGTGCTGCGATATGTTGTTGAATGGTCTGTAAATATTCCTTTTCAGTGGTGTGCTCTGTGTTGAAATCCTCTAGTGTGCTTAAGGTTTACTGTTAAAATAGTTGTCACTGAACACTAACTCGTCCCACGTGGCTTGAATTTTATGAAAATTGATAAAACGTTTCAAATTATCAATGTTATTTTGTAATCTTTTGAGACTATTAATTGGATGTCTTGTTTTTCCTTCAATAATCTGTATTGATTCCTGATCTCGTTGATTCGCAGTTACAATTGAAGAATAATGGGTCTTACTGCTACTTTAAGTTATCTGACTGCTTTATGCATGTGATATACCTTTTATCAGATTGGTTTTATGTTTCACCCAACCCGTACCAAATTGTTATCTTATGATACTAACGACTGAAAATTAGTATTAACGCAAGATTAACAAAGGATTTAGCTTTAAGACTTTATCGTGCGATTTATGGAGAGCTTCTGAAGGTTTATCGATCAAATATATTTTAGAGACAAAGTATAATTTCTGGGTTAAGTATTTAGAGTTTTATTAAAGAAAAGAATTATTACAAGTGTATTTGT